TCATCATGATATCATCATCAGCAGCATCATCATCATCGTCAACAAGACGATCATCACGATCATCGTCAGCAGCAGCATCATCGTGATCGCCGCCTTCCCATGTTACCCGCGACCGGTTGTTACTGTGGCCCGTTGGGTGTTAGTGTGGCCCGTTGGGTGTTAGTGTGGCCCGTCGCGCGGCGGGATGGGAGTTACTGTGGCCCGCGCAGGCCGCTCAATGAAAAGTAATATGTAAAGGTATCTCATGTTGGATCTGGAGAGATTCGCAACCCTTAAAGGAATGCACTCCCGCGCAGGCAAAAGTGGCCACAGTAAGTCCCACCTGGAACCAACGTGGTAGTAGTGCTGTGTTAGTGGTGTGGTGGTCGCTGTGCTGTGTTAGTGGTGTGGTGTTGGTAATGTTGTGTTAGTGGTGTGGTGTTGGTAGTGGCTGGTTGTGCTGTATGCTGTGTTAGTGGTGTGGTGTTGGTAGTGGTGTGCTGTGTTAGTGGTGTGGTGTTGGTAGTGTTGTGTTAGTGGTGTGGTGTTGGTAGTGTTGTTGGGTTGCTAGTAGGTAGTAGTGTTGTGGTAGTGGCAGTGGTGCTGTGGTAGTGGTGTTGTGGTAGCGGTGTTGTGGTTGTGGTATTGTGGTAGCGGTGTAGTGGTGTTGTGGTAGCGGTGTTGTGGTGTTGTGGTACTGGTATTGTGGTAGTAGTGCTGTAGCGTGGTAGTACTATGGTGCTGTAGTGTTGGTGTTAGGTAATATCGTCCATAGGGAGTACTAGACCTACGGAGTACTAGCCGCAGGGAGTGCTAGCCCCAGGGAGTACCAGACCTAGGAATTACTAACCCTAGGGCGTACTCGTCCAAGGGAGTACTCGTCCTAGGGAGTACTCGCACTACGGAGTACCAGCCCTAGGGAATACTACTCCTAGGGAGTGCTAGTCCGAGGGAGTGCCAGGAAGTACTGTCGCTAGGGAGTGCTAACCCTAGAAAGCACTGGCGCTAGGGTGTGCTAGCCATAGGGCGCTAGGGACGACGAGAAGTAGTAGTAGTAGTAGTAGTAGTAGTAGTAGTAGTAGTAGTAGTAGTAGTAGTAGTAGTAGTAGTAGTAGTAGTAGTAGTAGTAGTAGTAGTAGTAGTAGTAGTAGTAGTAGTAGTAGTAGTAGTAGTAGTAGTAGTAGTAGTAGTAGTAGTAGTAGTAGTAGTAGTAGTAGTAGTAGTAGTAGTAGTAGTAGTAGTAGTAGTAGTAGTAGTAGTAGTAGTAGTAGTAGTAGTAGTAGTAGTAGTAGTAGTAGTAGTAGTAGTAGTAGTAGTAGTAGTAGTAGTAGTAGTAGTAGTAAGTGTAGTCGTAGTGTAGTCGTAGTCGTAGTCGTAGTCGTAGTCGTAGTCGTAGTCGCAGTAGTAGTAGTAGTAGTAGTAGTAGTAGTAGTAGTAGTAGTAGTAGTAGTAGTAGTAGTAGTAGTAGTAGTAGTAGTAGTAGTAGTAGTAGTAGTAGTAGTAGTAGTAGTAGTAGTAGTAGTAGTAGTAGTAGTAGTAGTAGTAGTAGTCGTAGTATTTCGGAGAGCCCAAGACGCTCTTCGGAGAGCCCAAGAAGCGCTTCGGATGCCCCAAGAAACTCTTCGGAGGCCCCACGAGGCTCTTCGGAGAGCCCAAGAGTCTCTTAGGCGGCTGCAAGAAGGTCTTCGGCGGCTCCAAGAGGCTCTTCGGAGAGCACCAGAGGCTCTTCCGAGAGGCTCTTCGGTGAAGGGGGGGGGGCGGAGCCTTTTTGGACCCCCCCCCCTTCACCGTACTCGATAATTAATACACTCCGGAGGACCCCTGGCCATACTAACACCCACCGGGCCGCAGTAACAACCAACGGGCCGCAGTAACACCTTATCTCCATTTTACCCCTCCTCACTTCCATCCCTGCCCCTCTCCATCATTCGCCCTCCCTTCCTCAACCTTCCTCCCCATCCCTCATCCCGTGCTCCCCTGTGCAACTCCGTCTCCTCCTGTATCCTCCATCCATCCCTGCATCCCTCCTCCGTCTCCCTTCGTCCCTTCTGCCTTATCCTTAATCCTTGTTTGTTATTTCTCCAGCCTCCATCCTCTCTGCTCCGGTCCATGCAAACTCTCTTGCCGCCCTGCTCCCGCCATCCTCCGTCCTGCTTCGTCAGTCGTCAGCCATCAGTCGAAACGGCGATGGACCCCCCTCGCTGGCGCGCGGAACGCACCAGGGGGCCAGCACCGATCCGAGGAATCCGCGCGGACCCTTGAGCTTTAATGTCTGTATCATTGCTTGTTCTCCTGATAGTGCCCCCCTTGCTCCGCCCCTCCCGAAGCTCGGCTGGCATCGCCCCCCCCCCTCAGCACCACACGGTGGGTTCACGTCGCGATGACGCTGGCGTTGGTTTCTGACACCGTGTGGATCGTTCCGCCTCGAACGATCGCGGCTTCCCGGCAGCGCAGATTCTGGGCCACTGGCGGCATTCAACCCAGAACGCCCTCGCTGGGGCCGCCACCGCGTCAGCGCGGCGCGAACGTGCCGTATCGTCCCTCCACCCCTCCCTCGCCAATAGGATTAGATCGGGTATGTCCGCCCACAGGCAGATTTTGGAGTAACCCAGAAAACATTCGAACAATACTCAAAAAAACTACATTAGTAAAAGAAGCCGTCCCCAGACTATTGTTTTACTAGTTTTGAATATTCCTCCTGTAGAGGTACACGCCCGACTTAACAATAGGACGGGAACGACGTCATAATAGGATTTGCTCAGGATGCGTTCCAAGAGTTCCAGCTAATATAGCGGCCCTCGTTTCTGCAGCCCGTATGGCACCGTGAGGAAATCTCGGAAGTCATGGCAATCTTGGAACGTGTCATTGACATGACCTCTTGCCCCTCTGAGCCAAGGTCGGACGTGGTTCAGTGGGACCTGCCCCCTCTCCCAGGGAGCATCCTGAGCCTGATATTCCTGAGCCAGGACGAGGATACAATCGGGTGAGGATAAATTGAGGATCTCTGAGATTCCGCGGCTCTGGAGGAAACCTCGGGCACCGCGGCCTTCTCAGAGCGTTCCAGAACGCTCTGAGAGCGTTCCAGAGCGCTCTGGAACGGATTTGTTCTCGTCCTAGCCCCCCCCTCCCTCACAACTCTCCACCTAGAAGGGCAACAAAAGCAGCAGAAACATAACCCTCTCCCTCCCTCACAACCCTCCCCCTACCTGTCGGCGTGTGTGAGGGGCTTGTCGAAGCTTCCTCTTTCCCAGGGACCTCCTCAGCGCGCCAGCCAAAGCAAAGTTGAGCAACGTCGGAATTGAGTCGAAGGGAAGCCCCTTCCCTTCGATCCCTCCTCCGACGGGATAGGGGGGGTGGGGGCGGGTCGCGGGGGGGGGGGGTCAGATACCCCCTGGGAGTCCCGGAGCCCCAAAATGCCCCAAGACGGGCCAAGAGTGCCCCAAGAGGCCCCAAAGACAGTCCAAGAGAACCCCGAATCGCCGAACAATCTGTCCAAGACGCCTTGACGGCCTCCAGACGGCCCAAGAGGCCTGCAAAGCGCCCCAAGAGGCCTCCAGGAGCTTTCCCACGAGAGCCCCAAAAGGCAAAATTCTTTGAATTGTCATACGTGTTTGGAAGATTTGGGCGTGCTTGCCTCTTCCGCTTCCCGACGCACCAAGACGGCCCAAGAGGCCCCCAAGATCGCCACGAGACGGCCCAAGAGGCCCCCAAGAGGGTTCCCCAACGGCCGAAGAGGGCAGACGCCTCCAAGACGCCCCAAGAGGCCCCCGAGACGGCTCCAGGAGAGTGCCCAGACGGGGGACCCGAACTGACATTTCGAGCTCTCAGCCCCAAAAGGCCCCCAAGAGGCCCCGAAGAAGCCCCAAGAGGCCCCAAGAGGCTCCCATGGGGACCCCAAACTACCCCAAGACAGCCCAGGAGAGCCCCAAATTGTCCAGGAGGCCTCCAAGAGTGCCTCGAGACGGCGCAAGAGGAGCCCTGGACGGCCCAAGACGTCCTCAAGAGAGCCCCAGGCTGTCCCAAAAAAGCCTCTGGCCTCCTCCTCTTCCTCCTCCTCCTCCTCCTCCTCCTCCTCCTCCTCCTCCTCCTCCTCCTCCCCCCTCTGCTACCCCTCCTCCTGCTGTCCTCTGCCTCCTTCTCCTCCTCTTGCTTCTCCTCCACATCCTTCTCCCCCCCCCCCTCTCCCTCGTCCACCTGTTCCACCCTTCCCCCACCTCCCACGCATCCTCCTCCCCCTCCCCCCCCTCGTTTTCATCTTCGTCGTTCTCAGGGTCGGCGACACCGGCCGTAAGGCCTTCGCCATATAAACACTTGAGGTCCGCGCGCATTTCTTGGATCTGCGCTGGACCCCCTCCCTGGCGTGCTGGGCGCGCCAGGGGCAGCGCCGGAGGCGCCGCCATGGGGGTTCCAGCGCAGATCCCAAGAATCCGCACGGACCGCCAGAAATCGATGCTTATGCAGCGTTTCATCTGCGACCCCCCCCCCCTCCTCTACCCCCGATCCTCCGCCTCCTCCCGCTCTCCGCCCCCTCGCCCCACACCCGGACTGGTGCCTCCAGCCTCAGACGCGAGACAGGGAACACCGACAGCTGTACACGCGGCCTGCAGAGGCCAAATCGTATCTGCGCCCCCGATCTTGCTCCTGGCGGGGCGCGAGCAGAGATGTGGGCAAGACGTCGATCGTTGCCCTTTGGTTTTCGGCCCGTAGCTCGGGTCTCCGGCGGCGCTTCGGGGCGATGCGAGCGCCCCCGAGGCTGGACGGCCGTCGAAAACGAGCGACGACAGCAGGCAAACTCGAACAAATCTAAACTCAAAAGGTCCTGTCCCCTCTGACATTGCTTGAGCAAGGACCGACCGTCCAGGCATTCCTATAAGCCTACCACGACATGCTTTTAGAAGATAATAATGTCTTCAACACCAACCAATGTCTTAGAACACAACACCGGTTGATTGAAACAAGATAGCATCAACCAGAAATACTCTAAAAACATGTCGTGCAAACCAACGGAGGTCCTTAGAACATTATGTGGTGGGCCTAGCGGCAAGCCAAGACGCTTCGCCACTGCTTTGGCGAAACCAAAAAGGTACGTATACCGCTACTCACAGGAACTCCCCCCGGGGTGCGTTCTGACCAGGACCTCGAGCAGAATCCAGCGGTGGCGACGAGGGCCCCCCTGGAAGCCCAAACAGGAGCTAACGAGGCAAGGGTAGCGGCATGGGCACCTCTTCCTACTCCGAGCGCGAGCTGCCCCCTCGCTGTCCCCAAGGGCAGGCGCCCTCGGCGCGGGGCCGGCGGGGCGCCGAAACGCCGGCCTGCCGAGTGCGGCTTCGGCCCTCCTCCTTCTCCTCCTCCTCCTCCTTCCTCCTCCTCCTTCCTCCTTCTCCTCCTCCTCCTCCTGATTCCTCTGGGGCCTGGCCTGCCCTGTGGCGCCCTGGGCGCGCGGCCAGCGTGCCCGCGGACGGTGTTGAACCTCTGGGTTTGGCAGAAAACAGCGGGCCCTGAGATCTGGGCGCGTTGCGGCTTGCTTTCGCGCCGGGCGTGCTCGCCTGGCGTCGGGCCCTGGGGCCCTCACGGATCGATCGGGCTCGGAACGTGGCGCAGACAGACGAGGTCTTGGGCTCCGATGCTGCATTTTTGTTCGCGACGTCGGATCTCAGGGAAAAGGGGGGATGAGGAGGCCCAGACCCCAGACTCGGGGGTCTCCAACTGGTGCGGTGACCACACCGTCGAGTCAGTCAAATGTGTTGCGTGGTGAGCGGTGCGCTTCAGGACTTAGGCCGTTCTCAGAAGATGTCTCGAGCGCCTGGGGCGTCCAGGGCTCAGTCGGCCCCAGAAACGGCTGGGCCGATTTTTCACCGCTTCCGAAAAAATCTGTTGAAAATGGAAACGGCAACAAAAACGGCGACCAAAAACCGGAAACAAAAACGGCTCCAAGATTGGAACTGGAGCCGGAACCGGTAAATTAGCCTGGCGAAGGACCCAACCATATGCAGTTGTGAGTAATGCTGGTGTGAGTACCGTCTTCGGTGGATCTCCCTATGGGGCCACAAACCGTTTGAGGGGTGTGCCGAAATGGGTGTGGGGGCGGCATGCGAACGTTGCCACTGGGGCCTTCGGTGAAGCTCCTTATGGGGCCAACCGTGTGAGGTGTGCACCGAAGTTGGTGTGGGGGCGGCATGCGAACGCAGCCACTGGGGCCTTCGGTGGAGCTCCCTGTGGGGCCACGAAACGTGTGAGGGGTGTGCCGAAATGGGTGGTGGGGAGGCATGCGAACGCAGCCACTGGGGCCTTCGGTGGAGCTCCCTATGGGGCCACGAAACGTGTGAGGGGTGTGCCGAAATGGGTGTGGGGAGCATGCGAACGCAGCCACTGGGGCCTTCGGTGGAGCTCCCTATGGGGCCACGAAACGTGTGAGGGGTGTGCCGAAATGGGTGGTGGGGAGGCATGCGAACGCAGCCACTGGGGCCTTCGGTGGAGCTCCCTATGGGGCCACGAAACGTGTGAGGGGTGTGCCGAAATGGGTGGTGGGGAGGCATGCGAACGCAGCCACTGGGGCCTTCGGTGGAGCTCCCTATGGGGCCACGAAACGTGTGAGGGGTGTGCCGAAATGGGTGGTGGGGAGGCATGCGAACGCAGCCACTGGGGCCTTCGGTGGAAATGCATGCGAACGCAGCCACTGGGGCCTTCGGTGGAGCTCCCTATGGGGCCACGAAACGTGTGAGGGGTGTGCCGAAATGGGTGGTGGGGAGGCATGCGAACGCAGCCACTGGGGCCTTCGGTGGAGCTCCCTATGGGGCCACGAAACGTGTGAGGGGTGTGCCGAAATGCGAACGCAGCCACTGGGGCCTTCGGTGGAGCACCCTATGGGGCCACGAAACGTGTGAGGGGTGTGCCGAACTGGGTGGTGGGGAGGCATGCGAACCCTGGAGGGAGGAGGGCGAGGAGGAGGAGGAGGAGGAGAAGGAACGCGGGGACCGTCTCTTCAAAACGAGGACCCAACACCACAGGATGGTTGGGAAAAACGACGGAACCGGTAAAAAACGGCGTCGGAACTGGCAACACAAACTGCGAAAAGGAACCGCTAAAATAACGGCCCTGTCGTTTCCAGGGCCCACGAAGAGGTCCAGGGTCTCCAAGCAGGTTGGTGACAGACCGTCGGCTGACGTCTTCAGGCTTTCGGCGCCATCGGATGACCCGTCGCCACTTTCTCGCAGCTCTGGCAGGCCCAGGCTGCTCGATCGGAGCCGTGCCAGATGCTGCCTCACGACTCCCGCCCACCCGGGGCCCGCGTATGGAGCAGGGACCGACCGTCCCGGCATTCCTACAGGCCTAGGCCACGACGTGATCTCAGAACCCAAACCTGCTCGGATAACAAGAGCACTGTTCTGAGAACATGGGTCCGGTGTGGCAAAACAAGACAGCCTCAGCCAGAAATGCCCGAACGACATGTCGTACAAACCGCAGAAGGTTCTTAGAGGGAGGGACAACAACTGATCTACCGTTCCTGCTTCGATGGTCGTGTCCTGATGGGGTTTGAGGTATGCACCGATGTTGCCCCCAGTGCCCTGGCTTCGTCGGCGGGGGCGGGGCAGGCTGGGGCCCGCGGAATCGGCCGGCCATCCCCCGAAGAGGGCCTGCGCTGTCGCCACTGGGACAATGCCACTGCGGCTGCTAAGAAGACTGCCACGGACAGCAGTCTGCGATACCCAGCTTTCGGGCCCCCCCGACGGCCAGACAAGGCATTCGTGTGTATATTTGCCGTGCTCCGATCAGAACATTCCTTGGTGGGCCCATACACGCGAGCCAGGATGCTTCGCCGCTGCCCAGGGCGTAGGGGCCCCGGGCCGTCAAACAACGGCTCGGGATGAGAAGCCGGCTCCCGCGGAAGAGCTCGAAGGGCCCCCGCGGCGTCGGGCGACCCGAAGGAACGGCAGTCGGGGGCCTGGGGCAGGTCTGGGCTTAGCGACCTTACGACGCAGCTTACGCGGGCCGCCCGCGCGGCACGCCACATTTGAAGCGGGGGCGCTTACGCGCGAGCTTACGCGGGCAGCTTACGTGCCCAGACGACCTCGTTGTTTGGCGTCGCCCATTTGGATCCGTGTTCCCTTGGCCACGATCCCCCACGCTCCCGAAGCCAAGATCCATACAACACATTGATACATGGAGACCGCGTTCTCAGATTCACGATCTGTTGAAACAGTATTGAATCCGCGCTCCCAAAGCTGCTGCCCCTACAACAAATGTGACAGCCAGCGCAGACTCCAAATTGATCAGAAGACTGGAATGAAGTGGACTGGGATGGGCTGACGTAGACTTGTCTGGAGTAGACTGGAACGGTTGACTCTACTCCATTCATTTCTACTCTACCCTACTCTATTCTACCCGACTCTAGTCTCCCGTCTAACCTACTCTGCTCTGCTTTGCTCCGATCTGCCCTTGCCCTACGCTGCACTGCCTACCCTACCTTACCCTTCCCTGACCTATTCCACAGTACTCTACTCTACCCTTGCTCCACTCTGCTCCTACTCACTCTACTCTACTCTACTCTACTCGATTCTACTCTACTCAAAGTATGCGATGATCCAGGCTGCTCTTAGGTCGGGCATGTCCCCCTACTCTTTGCGTCGGGGCTGGGCAGAGGCGGCTGGGCATCCTCGTCCTCCTGGCCCTCATCCCGCCTCTCCTCCCCCTGTTTCCCACCTTGTACTCCTCATTCCTGCTTCCCTCCGCCCTGTTTCCCTCCACGCCCTCGACCTAAACCCATCCTGAATCTGCAAGAGTATACCTCGGCCGCCCCCCGAGTATCGGCCCCGAGAGCCTCAGCACCTCCTCGAAGCCCAGCGGCACGTTCCGCCGCAGATTCGCGTAGGTCCCGATCATCTCAGGGCGGTTGCCATACGGTCAAGCTGCCACCACAGGGAGCGCTGAACAAGGAACGGCACCCCTTCTTGGCCCCGACAGCGCCCAGGTGCACGACGAAAGCTAAGGGAACATCCATGGAAGGAGCTGAGGAGCAACGAACCCATTCCGAACCCGAGTCGTTGTCCATTCCCCGTGCATTGCTCGATCTCGTGTGTGCAATTTTTTTCGCAAGGTGGTCCAATATGCTGCTCGAGGGCCCACGCCGAGGAAGACAGGCACACGTCCGAGCGATGTCAAGTTATGCCCGCGTCTCAGCTCTCGGGGAAGCAGGCCCTGGACCGCGCGGCTTCCCCCACGACGACAAGCTCTCGATCCTGAAGCGCTCTCGACGCTCCCAAGCGGCCCCTGCAAGGAGGAAGAGAGGTGCCAGGAGCCTGCGCCAACGAGCTCTTGGCGGCTGTCCCTCAGGAGCCCGTTCTCTGATTCTTCGAGATGGCGTCCGTGACCGACCAGCCCCCCCACCCTCCCTCCCCCCCTGGTCACGTCACCATTCGCGCGGGCGCCGTCCGGGCGCGGTCCCAGGCGGCGCCGGTGCGAATGGTGACGTGGCTGGACCCCTCCCCTGAGGGGCAACGATAGGGGGCGGGACTGGCATAGGGGGGGGAATGCATCGACCTGGAAACGGCGATACATCGCCGATAGATCGGCGATAGGCCCCCGATAGTGAATCCGCACCGTCCTGGGCGGGTTGGGGCTGCCAGACCCCTATCGGCGATCAATAGGCGATTGGGGGCCGATGCATCCCCCCCTATGCCTACGCCCCCCTATGGTTGCCCCTGATCCTCCCCCCTTTCCTCCCCCCAGTCACGCCCATGATCGGCCAAGGGATGGACAAAAAACAGGCTCCAAGCTCTGGGCCCCTCTCCTTCCGTCAGGACAGCGCTTCTTCACGGCGCTGGCCCTGGGGTGGTCTGTGCTTGAACTTGCCCTTCCAGGAGGGCGAAGTCGCCTGGCGAAGAACCCAAGCATACGCAGTTGTGAGTAATTTTTGCGTTGTGGGCATCGCTTTCGGTGGAGCTCCTTATGGGGCAACGAAGCGCGTGAGGGGTGTGCCGAAATGGGGCGGCGCTGCCATGCGGACCCTGCCACTGGGGCCTTCGGTGGAGCTCCCTATGGGGCCACGAACCGTGTGAGGGGTGCCGAAATGGGGCGGCGGTGCCATGAGGACCCTGCCATTGGGTCCTTCGGTGGAGCTCCCCATGGGGCCACGAACCGTGTGAGGGGTGTGCCGAAATGGGGCGGCGGTGCCATGCCGACCCTGTCACGGGGGCCTTCGGTGGAGCTCCCTATGGGGCAACGAACCGCTCCCTATGGGGCAACGGACCGCGTGAAGGGTGTAATGGGGCGGCGGTGCCATGCGGCCCCTGCCACTGGAGCCTTCGGTGGAGGTCCCTAGGGGGCCACGAACCGTGTGAGGGGTGCGCCGAAATGTGGCGGCGGCGCAATGTGGACCCTGCCACTGGGGCCTTCGGTGGAGCTCCCTGTGGGGCCACGAACCGTTTGAGGGGTACGCCGAAATGGGGCGGCGGTGCCATGCGGACCCTGCCACTGGGGCCTTCGGTGGAGCTCCGTGTGGTGCCACGAACCGTTTGAGGGGTGCGCCGCAATGGGGCGGCGGTGCCATGCCGACCCTGTCACTGGGGCCGTCGGTGGAGCACGAACCGTTTGAGGGGTGTGCCAAAAGGGGGCGGCGGTGCCATGCGGACCCTGCCACTGGGGCCTTTGGTGGAGCTCGGGCTTGGGAAGGGGGGAGGGGGAGGGAGGAGGAGGGAGGAGAACGCGGGGCGCTGTCTCTGCAAAACGAGAACCCAAGACTACAGGATGGTTGGGAACAAATGGTACCAAGACCTTGACGTCTAAATTCCTGTCGAGGTTGTAAGCAAACAAGGTACTGGAGGGCTGTATTTTCACAACTCTGGAAGGTAGGCGTCCGCCGGAGGGTCATGAACTCGAGTTGATATCTGTCAGGAAGCGGAGGAAAGGGCAAATCCGCTCAAAATCCGTCCCCCAACCCCTCCTGAGGTTCATTTGGTGGCGATTTTGTCACCTAAAATCTGCTTTTAGAGGACTCCCAGATGGTGTCGGAGCATATGGGGTCAGAGAGGGCCGCATCGCCGATGCATCGGCGACGCGTCGGCGATGCACCGGCGACGTCGGCGGTGCATTGGCGACGCCAGCGTGGAGGAAATCGGGCTCGACGCCGGCGTGGAGGAAATCGGGCTCCACATCGAGCCGCATCGGTGATGCATCGGCGATGCGGCGCAGTCCTCCGACCCCATTTACTCGGACCTCATCTGGGAGGCCTAGAATTTTCGACAGTCCCGGGCTGGGGCCCGAATACTGTCCCCAGAGACCGAACACGGCTCCAACCTCGAATCGCTTCCCCCCTTGCTGCTAATCGGAACCAGCGCATGGGCCGGCCCCAAAACTTCTGCGCGCACTCTCCGGCAGGCCAGCAGCCCAGGGGGGTCGGTGCGGCGGCGGGAGGTGGGCCGGGGCGGCCGGGCAGTGAGGGGGGACACACCTCCTCGTCGTCCGTCCGCCTCCCCTGGGCTCCATCCCAGCTCCAAGCTCCTCCGCCGTGGAGACCTCCCCTCTGCAGCCCGCCCGCGAAACGAAGGCCCGCGGTGCCCGCGGGGCAGAGCAGCCGTCCCAGACATGTGATAGCGTCGTGGGCACATCGGGGGCGTCCAAGGAGGGGGGCGTCCAGGAGGGGGGTCTGCAAATCATGGCCCGATGCTCCGTCGGTCAAGGCCACCCCTCTGGGCTGACGTCGTCGCCGTCGATAGGACATGGGAGTCGCGAGGTCCCGTCTGCGCTTCCGGCTCTTGTGGCGTCGACGGGCACGCTTCACTCGAGAATTACCCGAGACGTACCCAGCCTCTTCTCCACGCGCGGCGACTAGTAAAAGGAGTACCCTTTACAACAAGCACATCATTGAGAGATGCGCAACACTCTTGCGTACGAAGATACCGACAGCTGGGCAACTCGCAGCCTCGCTGGAAACAGCGAGGTTCTGGATGGGTGCGCGTGGCCCCCGACTCCGCTGGACCTCCCAGGAGCCCACGAACGTGCGCAACCCCCAGGATGCGGAATGCGCAACCCCCAGGATGCGGCGAAGTCCCGTCTGGGTCCGCGTGGCCCCCGAGTTCGCTGGAGCCCACAGGAGTGGTGACAATTGCGCAATTCGCAGCAACCCAAAGAGCAGCGAGGTCCCGTCTGGGCCAGCGTGGCGCACAACTCCGCTGTACCTCCCAGGAGAACACGAAATTGGCGACAACTGCGCAATTCGCAACCACCCAGGAAGCAGCGAAGATCTGTCTGAGTCCGCGTGGCCCCCGACACCGCTGAACCTCACAGGCGCCAACGAACGTGGTGACAATCGCGCAATTCACAACCACACCAGGAGCAACGAGGTCCCCTCTAGACCCGCGTGGCCCCATCCTCCGCTGGACCTCCCGACAACCATCGGAAATGGCGACAACTGCGCTGTTCGCAACGGTGTTGCGTCTTGGTCCGCGTGGCCCCCGATTTCGCTAGACCTCACGGGAACCCACGAACGTGGCGACAATTGCGCAAGTCGCAACCACCCCCCAGGGACTTCCCAGGAGCGGCGACAAATGCGCAAATCGCAAGCAACCAAGGAGCAACGAGGTCCCGTCTGGGTCCGCGTGGCCCCCGACTCCGCTGGACCTCCCAGCAATCCACCAAAATGGCGACAACTTCGCAATTCGCAAACCCCCAGAGGGCGGCGAAGTTCCGTCTGGGTCCGCGTGGCCCCCGAGTTCGCTGGAACTCCCAGGAGCCCACGAAAATGGCGACAATTGCGCAGTTCGCAACCACACAAAGAGCAACGAGGTCCCGCCTGGGTCCGCGTGGCCCTCGGTTCCGCTGGACCTTCCAGGAGCTCACGAACGTGGCGACAGCTGCCCAATTTGCAACAACCCAAGGATCAAAGATGTCCCGATTGGGTCCATGTGGCTCCTTACTCCGGTGGACACCCCAGCATCCCACGAAAGTGGCGACGGTTGCGCTGTGCGCAACCTCCCAAGGAGCAACGCAAGATTTCGTTTGCTGTGGACCACTGCTAGGCAAGCTTCCGCAGAGATTGACAAGCAGGAAAACGAGCAGAACAAAAGGGCGCCAGGACCCACCCGCAAGCGCAAGGAACTACCTCGAGCCCGTCGGGCCGCGAGTGCCACTCTGCGCGCCGATGCGTCGGTGGAAAGCTGAGCGGCGACGCGGCCTCAGCCTCCAATGCATGACAGTGCGCCCCTCCACTGGCCACCGAGTGGGCGGGGGGGGCAGGCTCGAGCTCAAGAACGCCCACGGCCTCCAATGGCAACCCCGCCGACGCGGCGAAGGGACGGCTGGGCGGCGTCATGTCCGCCCAGGCATTCGGGCCACCTGCACCACTGGCCAGGCTTGGGCAAGAACCGCCCACAGCCTCCAAAGACAGCCCCGCCGATGCGGCGAAGGGCGGGAGCAGTGCCGGAGGAGGCAGGAAGGAAGAGGGAGAAGAAGGAGGAGTCGCAACCGCAGCGCTCTATCCGAAACGAGAACCCAACGCAGTAGGATTGGAAAACACGATGGTGGATCAGCAATGCTACGCCTAGTGCAGATTCAACGACATCAATACCATCAAATTCATCCTCCACCCCCTCCTCCTCCGAACCCTTCCCCCCCTCCTCTCCATTATCCGCCGACCCCTTGGGGTCACGGCGTGTGAGATGCTTCCCCCTCCCTAAACCCCTCCCCGGGAGCCCGGTCCAGCTGGTTTGGAGGGGCGGGGGGGGGGGGGGCAAAGGTCTCATCAGGCCCCACGAGGCCCCAGAGGGCTCCAAACAACCCCTACGACTGCCCAAGAGGCCAGGATGGCCCAAAGACAGCCCCAGAAGCCTCCCAGACGGCCCTGGAAGCCTCCAAGAGCATTCCCAAGAGGGGCCCAAGAGGCCCAAATCGTCGAATTCCGATGACAAAAAAACGTACATTTTCATCATGCACGACTTTTAGGCCTTCACGGCGTTGAAGACGGCGCGCGTAATTATTTCGCGGAGGAGGTCGGAACCCCAAAAATAAAGAAATCCTAAAAAAAAACACCCGGCCCCAGAGGATTCCCCAGCCGTGGCGCGTCCCGAGAGGATTGCCCAGCCGTGGCGCGGCCCGAAAGGATTGCCCAGCCGCGGTGCGGACCCTGGAGGATTCCCCAGCCGTGGGGGGGCCCTAAACGCCTCCTCAACCGTGGCGCGGCCCTAAAGAATTCCCCAGCCGTGGCGCGGCCCTCGAGGATTCCCCAGCCCTGGCGCGAGTCCCTGGGAGCCGCGCAGGCGCGACTCGGCAGAATGGACTAGATCGCGATCTAGACCATTGTGACGGGAAGTGGGGCGACAGGACCAGATCTCGATTTAGTCCAAACTAAATCGCGAAGCAGTCCAAATTATTTTATCTCGAACGGACTAGATTCGTGATTTAGTCGAAAACAGATAGAGAATCACGCTATTATCTCAAAACTGCCTCCAAAAAGATCCCGAGAGCCACCCCACGAGATCCCAACGAACATCCGATAGGGGTTATACCCACAGCCCAGGCACGGTGGCGGGATGGGCCAACGGCCATTAGATTCTGTCCAGCATTTCAGATTGTGCAACCCTTTACGGACGGAAAGCGTATCATCTTCAGAACGGTGCTAATCGCCGTACGCTTCCTTGAGCTTCAACTTCCTACATCTTCGCGCTCCTTTGAGCTAAAAGGTTCTAGCAGGGGATCGACTGCAGAATCGATGTACCCCCGAAATTGCCATTTTCGCCGAGTCTACGAATGATACCAGAGAGAAAACCCAATAAAGAGCTATGGGGCTACAGGGCTAAAAGGCTCTGGGGCTATAGGCCTATAGGGCTGTAAGGCTATAGGGCTATAAGCCCATAAGGCCATACGGCTATAAGGCTATAGGGCTATAGGACTATAGGGCTGTAGGGCGATAGGGCTTTAGGGCTACGAGGACTATAGGGCTATAGGGCGATAGGGCTATAAGGCTATAAGGTTATAGGGCTACAAGGCTATAGAGCTATCGGGCTATAGGGCGATAGGGCTATAGGGCTATTAGGGCTATAGGGCGATAGGGCTATAGGGCTATTAGGGCTATAGGGCTATAGGGATATAGGGCTATAGGGCTATAAGGCAATAGGGCTATAAGGCTATGAAGCTACTGGGGACCCGGGCACCTGGGCACTCGGGCACCCGCGGACACCCGGGCACCCGGGCATCCGGACACCGGGGCACCTGGGCACCCAGGCACCCGGGCGTGCAGCCGAAATCGGCGCCAAACTCACCTAACCATACGAATCCGCTAGGACCCCTACAGAGACAAGCTCTGCTTGGGGAGCAATACACAGAATGTGCGTGTATCTGCAAACATTTAAAATATTTCTCCGCAGGCTAATCGGACATGTCAACTTTGGACCGCAGTGTCCAACACGGCCCAAGAGACCCCAAAACAGGCCCAGAGGCTCTCAAGAGGGCCCCAAGTCGGCCCAAGAAGGGCCCAGGACGGCCCGGGAGGCACCCAGGACAGCCCAAGCGGGCCCCAGTAGGGGCCCCAGAAGCGCGCAAGAGAGCTCCATGACGGCCCCAGAGGGGCCCAAGAGGCCCGCAGGAGGCCCCCAGGAGGCACCAAAATGGCCCTAGGAGTCCCCAAGAAACCTCGAGCGGCTCCAAGTGGCCCTCAAGAGGCTCCCCAAGAGGCGCCCAAAAGCGCTCCCGAAGGCTTAAACATTACCTCCTACACACCTCCAGGAGGCCTCCAGGATGCCTCCTGCATGCCCCCCAAGAAACCCAAAAGGCCCCCAAGAGGCTCAACAATCACTCCAAGACGCTCCCCCAGGAGGCCTCGAATATGCGTCGTAGAGGCCCCTCAAGAAGCCCACGCAATGCCTCCTAGCTGTTCCCAAACCACTTACGTTTGAACATGCGCGCTGGGGCGAAAACGTCCTTCTGACAGCGGGATCGTCCCGAATCGGCGGCGCCGGCCAGCGGCCTCTACAATATTTCTCCGCAGGCTAAACGGACATGTCAACTTTGGACCAATTGGGATAAATTCGCCGGCCCAACGGGCCAGAGGCGTGCTAAGATCTCCGGTAACTTGTTAACAATATTTCTAGTTCGCGCGCGCGGAGCGGCCCCTGGGGGCCCCCGGACGAAAAGTACCCCGGCAAGGTCCCGAGAGAAGCCCGGGAGAAGCCACCAGACCACTCCAGGGGAGGGTATTTTTCGACACCCCTCACGAGGATCGTGGCCTCCGAGGGGGGAGCCGCAATCGACTACCCCCAAGAGCCCCCCAAGAGGCCCTGGGGGCCTCCAAAACGCCGCCAAGGAGCCCCAAGAGACTCCCAAGAGGTCCCCAAGAGGCCCCCAAGAGGCCCTAAAGAGGGCTCCAGGGCCGGCGGCATGAGCGAAGCGATTAAATAAACTATGGAATCGATCCCCTAAGATGGGAGGTGGATCCTTCACGGAATTGGCCGGCCCACTGGGCGCTCCGTCATTCAAGGGGGGGAGCTTCCCGCAGTGGAAAGGCATAATTCTAGGGACTTCTGGGGCAGGGACTCGGGACGGTTGAATGCACCTCAGAATCATTGAGGCATCCTGAATTTACTCTGGTCCTCCTGCCCATCTCTCTTCCATCGTCCCCTATTCCCCCGTAAGTGGCGAGTCTCAGAATCTCGCGCCACCCCGCAGGCGCGGCCGCGTAAAAGGAGCACGCCCAGCGCAAAGCCCCGCGTCGCACACACGCACACACACACACACACACACACACGCGCACACACACACACACACGCACGCACGCACGCACGCACGCACGCACGCACGCACGCACGCACGCACACACACAACACACACACACACACACACACACACACACACACACACACACACACACACACACACACACACACACACACACACACACACACACACACACGCGCACACACAAAAACACACACACATACACACACACGCGCACACACAAAAACACACACACGCACGCACACACAAACACACACACGCGCACACACAAAAACACACACACATACACACACACGCGCACACAGACACATACACAGACACACACACACACACACACACGCACACACAATTCCCCTCCCGCCAAATCTAGGCGGCATAAACAACATAGATGTTCGACGGTCCGCGCGAATTTCGTGGATCTGCACTGGACACCTTCCCTGGCGCGCGGATCGCGCCAGGGCGGCGCTGGAGGCGCCGCCAGGGAGGCCCCAGCGCCGATCCGATAAATCTGCGTTGAGCTGCAAAACATAGATGCATGCCATTGATTATTTACTCCCCGATCCCTCTACTCTCTTCCCCCTGCCCGTTACCCTACCCCTCGTCGTCCCTGCCCCATTCGGCGGCGAGCCTGGGGGGGAAGTGAGAAGGGGCGGGCCTTATCGGAAGGCTCGGAAGGCCTCGGGCCTCCTGAGAAGGCTCCCCCGAGGACGCAGAGAACCTCTCAGAAGGCCGGAGGGCTTCTGAGGAGCCCCGCCGCCTTCTGAGAAGGCCTTCTCTAGGGGAACGAAGAATGACAAAAATTAAAGAATCAGAGGTCCGCGCGGATTTTTCGGGTCCGCGCTGGACCCCCCTCCCTGGCGCGCGGAGCGCGCCAAGGGCGGCGCCGGAGGCGCTGCCAGGAGCTCCCAGCGCCGACCCGAGAAATCCGCGCGGACCTCCGAGTTTTGTTGCTTATGTCACTGTTTGTTCCCCTATTATAATTCTCAACTCCCACCTCGCTCGCGCCCCCCCTCTTCCAGGAGCACGAGGAAAACGTCACGCAGGCACGCCCGAGCCCACAGGAGAAGCCTCCGCCCCCGAGAACGACGCGCCCATCATTCGCAGACCGGCCAGAGCCTGGGAAGCTCGGAACTTCCGCCCCCGAAGGTCAGAAGCGAAAACAGAACGTATACACGTACACGAATCCAAAAGGCCTCCTCCTGCTCGGTTCCCCCCCTCGCTCGCCGCGGACCCCACCCCCAAGACAGACCAGAATCGAACCGATAAGCGTCCGATCGGCAACCGAAATGAATTAATTGGATCGGAGGAAGTCGGCAGCCGAGTCGGGAAAAGTCGAATTGGCGGACATCGGCAGGCTAGTAGGCCTCCAATACGGACTCGGAACCCAAATCGGAATCCCAAGTCGAATCGAATCGGAATCGGCATCCGTCGAAATCGAATCGAATCGAATCGGGGGAATCGAAATGAGCCCTGCTTCCCCCCCCTGGCTCGCCGCCGAGCGATGGCTGCCGGCGGACCCCACCCCCGTCGACCCCGCCATCGCTCAGAAGCCCTAGGTCGGGCATGTCCCCCTACAGGCCGATCTTCGACGAAAAATAAAAAATATTCAAAACAAACAAAATGATTTAAAAAAAGCTGCGGGGATCGTCCCCAGCCTATGTTTCTACTGTTTTTGAATATTCCTCCTGTAGAGGGACACGCCCGACTGAACAGCAGCCCCCGCCCGCAGGGGCCTCGTCGAAGCGCAGCGCGTAGAGGGCCGAGGCGAGGGCGAAAGCGGGCAGGAGCAGGCCGCAGAAGCAGCAGCTCCAGGCGCGGCCTGGGCGGTGTGGCTCCGACGACCCCTCGGGGGTGGAGGGGGCCCAGGGGCACACGAGCAGGTGGGCACAAAGTCCCAGGCTTCCCCACAGGTTCCAGGTGTTCTGGTCATGTTCGTCTTCCCCCCCCCCACACTTCCCATATGTGCTCCATGATCTTCCTGGGGACCGGCGATTCTTTGCGTCTGCGTGTTCCGTTCCTTCCCGAAGGACGTGTGTGAGCGCCAATGTCACGTTGGCGCTCACACACGTCCTGAGGATCATCGAGCTTCGGTGTCGGTGGACAAGCACACTTCGTATGCTTGTCGCAGACCACGTCGTGTGCTTGTCCACCGAAGCCCCCTTTCACTAAGATGCAGGCAGTGTAATGAGGGTCGACGTGGGTTGCATGCTGTTGGCGGCGCTGAACGCCAGAGAAACCACACATTGGGCCAACGTACGCCCTGAGGATCGAGTGGCAGAGGGGGGGGGGGCGGCCCAGAGAATCGAGGCGCCGAACAAATCGGAGCGGCTGGTCTTGGGCAATTCTCGGCCTCCCAAGGGCCCTCGACGGGCCACCGGACCGTTAACAAACGCCTCGGGACGACAAATCAGCCCCAGGAATTGAGCAGGGACCGACCGTCCCGGCATTCCTGTAGGCCAACCAGGACATGTTCTTACCCAAAGATGTTCTAAGAGCAAAAACAACGTTCTTAGATCGTAGAACATAAAAATGACGTGCTACAACAAGACAGTCTCGACCAGAAGTGTTCTAAGAACATGTCGTGCAGACCACAACTGATTATTATGACATTCTTTGGTGGGCCTATAGGCGAGCCAGGACACTTCGCCACTGCTTGAAGGAAGTGGTCCAGACCTCTGGAGGTCCACGCATCGGAAAACATCGGAGCGCCGGATGTCTGGGGGGGCCAGGCCATGACCCCCGGCGGGATCGAAAACCCAAGGGTGCGCCCTGATCGGGGGAGGGGCGGGAGGAGGGGAAGGCGAAGCAACCTCCCAGCCGCTACTCTCCGCTCCTTCCGCGCCGTCTTTCTATCCCTTTCGCTCCTCCTCCCCCCTCCCGTCTCCACATCTGCAAGCTGCTGCCCCCATCTCCAATCGCCCCGCCCCCCCCTTCTCCCCAACTCCCTCTCCCCCGGTTCAACTTCTGGTCCTCCTCCTTCCTCCTCCTCCCCCTCCTTTTCCTCATCCTCCTCCTCCTCTCCAAGCACGGGGCCGATGCAGGGGCCAAGCACACACGGTGGCCCCAACAACAGGCGATGCGAAGGCAGGGCAGCCGAAACCACAGGGCTGGTGAGGCTACCTCCCCAGATGCCATCCTGCCAGGCTCCCCTTCGCCTTAATTACCTTCCTCGTTCTCGTCTTCGACCTCCCTCCTCCTCCTCCTCCTCCTCCTCCTCCTCCTCCTCCTCCTCCTCCCCTCCTCCTCCTCCTCCTCCTTCCACGGGAAGGGGCTGCGAGGAGGAGGCCGAACTCACTGTCGCTGGGATCTTCGCTGCCCGGGGGGGGGGGGCGGCAATCCGCTTTTCACTGGCGGCACCTCGCCGCACGTACTCCGCGCTGGCCGGGTACCACATCGCCATCTTCGCCTTCGAAACCATGGCCGAGCGCGGTCCGGCAACTCGCCCTGTCCGGCCCGGCCGCTCACCTGCCCACCGAGCCACCGGCTCGGCAGAGCGACCCGCATCGACAAACCACAGAGCCGGCGGATGGCGTTGGCATCGCAACGACGGAAAACACGCTCGAGCCAAAATTCGCCGTCAAAGGGGGGGGGGGGGGGCAATTCGGACCTGCACCGCAGGAAAAACAATGTCGTCAGCAGTGGCCGTGGCGAGAATGTTGAAGGACTGGAAAGAAGTACCGGTGTCGCTGAGACTGTGGAGCAATGGTGCGCAAACGTATCTTGTCAATCAGCCCCGTGCCATCGTCAGATGGCGCCCTTCCCTTCGGCACGCGCAGTAACATATACTCCTCGCGATCATTTTAATACACTCCGAAGGAAGCACGGACCTCTGCGCTATCGATGCAATCGTTCGTCAAATGTCCAACATCCTCAAGGTTGTTGTTTCTGGACGCCCCAACACAAAAACCCATCCTCCCCACCCTCCTCTCCTCTCCCTTTCACAGTTGTCATCATCATCATCATCATCATCATCATCATCATCATCATCATCATCATCATCATCATCATCATCATCATCATCATCATCATCATCATCACCTCGCCATGACCATTACCATCCTCGTCATGAGTTCTGGTGCAATCGCACATAACATCCTCACTACCACCGCTACCATCGTCATCATATTCATACACACACACTCACTCACAGCAACACCATCTCCATCACAATCATCATGCATAAGCCCATGTACACGCACACACACACACACTTGCGCACTCAGCCCCCATGCATTCGTACTGAGGAGGTCTCGAACGGGGGCCTCGTCTGCGACTGAATTGAGACACAATATCAAGCGGAAATCCTTTTCCCTGTGGGGTACTGTACGCGTCATGTTTGAAACCCAAAGCGGCCATCGGCACGTCTCTAGAGAACAGAAAGCATGTGACACCAGGTCGCCAGAGCTCAACTCCAAGTTTGTGTTTGAGTGTCGGAGCTAACTGCAAGCCACTTCGTGCTCTTCGAGTTTCCCAAGCTCCAATCACATGCCGATTTGCATGTCCCGAACCAATTGTACGCCACTTCGGCTCATCGTGCCACAAGAACTCAACTCCTGGAACTGATTTTGCACGTTCGAGGCCAGCCGTAAGCGACTTTGAGCTTTTCGGGCTCTCAGAACTCCATTCACGGCACTGATGTCAAATTTCCAGAACCACTTGCAAGACACTTCGGGCTCGCCGTGTTCCGAGAACTCACTCCTGGGACTGATGTTGCGCTCGTATTGTGACATCCTGGCATCCTGGCAACATAGCGCCCTCGCACTGGCATCTCTAGTGTCCCTGGCATCCCAGTACAGGCCCCGCAAGTCTGACATAATCTCACAAGTCCGACAGGCCCCGCAAGTCGCACACGCCTCACAGGTCGTACAGGTTCCACAGGTCTCAAGGTCCCACAGGTCGCACAAGTCCCACAGGATTCACAAGTTCCACACACCCCACGGGCCCCACATGTGGCCACAGCTCCCACAGGTCGCGCAAACACCAAAGGTTCCATAAGCCCAACATGTCCCACAAATCGCACGAGTCCCAAGCATCCCACAGGTCGTACTGGTTCCGCAGATCTCACTGGTCCCACAGGCCGCACAAGCATGAAGGATTTCTGGAATCTTGCCAGGCTGGCATCCAGGAATCCTTGCCTCCTGGTATCCCTGACATCATGGCTTTCTGGTGTGCTCGCATCTTGGCAGACTTGCACCCTCTCCATCGTTAGTCATGGATGTATTATGCATATACACCAGGAAACTTATCATGCGGGGTCCTACCGTCGGAGTACCTTGTAGAGGAAGTGTCCCATGCTGGCTGACCTGACGCTGCGAGAACCTGACTGTCATGCAATATCATGTAATGAGACGTCAGGTTGCTTATGACGTGACTGATTTGCCACCAATCTTGCTACTAGGACCTTTCAATTTCGCGCGGCCCACGAGTCGTCCTCACTGTGGTAGAACATGTGTTTCAGCACCAGCCCCTTTTGTTGATACTTGCGCGACTCATGTGCTCTGTTGGTTGTCTGATTCGCGCTGTCACGCTGCCGTCGCAATGTGCATAATGGTAACATCTGGTATCGCTATAGGTTGTTTGCACCTCCAAAATTATTGAACTTCGCATCGGTATTGATCCTTCAGCGAGAGTTATCCGTCTCGTCGGCGGCAATTGACGCCGTCATAGGCGTCGAACTCAGCAGAGCAACATACATTTGCGCGATCACCGTGCACTCACACCCATGGGCGGATCTGGGTGGTCGCTTCCGATGCGGAGGAGAAGCGGATAAAGATGAGATGCAAGTGGTAACAGGGACGGAAGGTGCGGCGAGGCAAGACGGTGAGAGGGGGAAGACGGGGCGGCGAAAGGAGAGGGAGAGAAAGAGAGAGAGAAGGGGGGGGGAACGAGGGGCCGGAAGGCGAGGCGACACTGGGCGGCACTGGGCGGGGAGCAAAAAGCAGGAGGACTGCGATGTGCTGACCTCGTCTCCCTGCCCCCCGTGCACCGCTCGCTCCGCTTCGCCGCTCCCCTCGCCCCCGCTCTCCTGAAGGAGGCCCAGGGACACGCAAGTAAAGAGACACAAAAACCCCAGGATTCCCCACGTGCTCCATATTTTCAAGATGCTCGTCTCCCCCTCCCGCCAGTTCCCACATTTTCCATATTTTCCCGGGACTCACACTTTCCATATTTTCCCAGAAATCGATACTCTCTCAAGAGTCGACATTTATACATACATACATATATAGAGAGATGTGTGTTTTTGTGTGTTTGTGTGTGTCTGTGTGCAGGCCGCGTGCCGCCCCGCCCACCAACCCCCGTCCCCTCCCTCCTTCCCTCCCTCCCCCTCCCTGACCGCTGTTCTCTGCTGCTGGGCTTCTTCGATGGGTAAAACATGTATGTCCGCTATGTTGTCCCTCCTAGTCCTAGTCTCCCTCCAAAGCTCGCCATCGTTCGGACATCCATTCTACGTGTATTATTCGGCTTCGTGCGTGCAATTTGTTCGCAAGGTGATCCAAAAATGCTCCTCGATGGTCCTCGCCGAGAAAGGATGCACCCGTCCGAGCGATGCCCAGGCAGAGAATCGCGCCGGCGACGGCGCGGGGGTCGCCGCGGCTGTCCGGGCGCCTGGGCCATGACGAGGCCCTCGGACACCTGGGGCGCTCTGGGGTGCTGTGCTGCAGCTTCGGGGGGGGCTCGGCCGTCCCGTCACGCCCCCTGGCCGTCCGTGCCGGATCCGCGTCGAAGCCGTGTCGGGCTCGTCGAATCCGCGTCGAAGCCGTGCCGAATCTGCACAGAATCCGCGCCGAGTCCGCATCGAACCCCCGGCGGGCACAAGACAAGACACAAAGTTTGAGGACAGACAAGGTCCCCCAAAGATGCAACGTAAGATCCGAAAGGGGTGGGGAGCTCGGATCATTGGATACCATGTTGTTGTCGGTCGCGATCGGTGGCGATCGATCGGCAATCCAAATCGGTCGCGACCGATACCATAATTTGCGGACACTTACAGCTGGCATTCAATGATCAGGGAGAAGGGGGATGAGGACCGAAAACTTTGGACGTCTCGACCCTCCGAGGCCCCCGGGGAACTCCTGGCCCCCGGGGAACTCCAGAGAGAAAGTGATCTGGAAAATGACGGCGGGGGAGGGAGTGGCAGGCGGGGGAGGGGGCGGGGAAGCGTGGTAAACTCAGGCACGCGGATACGCAGACAGAGGTGTCCAGGTCAGGGACCCATTCTGTCTGGACCCCACGCCTGGGTCCGTAAGGGCGACCAGCATTCTCCTGTGTCCGGGACCTTGCGACCCGCCCCCCTTTGCGGAGTAACGAGCATGTCGTCCTGCACCCAGAGCCCCAGAACCTCCAGCTCCCAAAATCGCTCAGGAATGTCGACCTTCGCGCCTCGACGACGACGGCGGACAGTGCATTACGTTCGCAGCCCCCTGCAAGACCCTATCGGCGACCAGAAATCAGGCTGGACGAAGCGATTCCTGGCCAGGATCCTCTGGCAAAGGCCGTGTGTCTGGGACCCTTGTGGCGGCGACCCGATATACCGGACAGACATGCTCAAGCCTTGAACCGCAGGTGAGGAGCCCCATGATGCAAGCACTGCTAAGAATGCCATCGCTCGGACGTCCATTGCTCGTGCATTTTTGGTGTCATGCGTGATTTCAATTGCTGGACGATCCTGGGGAAATCAAAGGGTACCGATACCGCTACTCCGCCGCTCTGGCGTGTGAGTTGGAAGGGGAGGGGGTGACTGGGGTGGCTCTGCTGGGGTAGGGGGAGGGGGGGGGAGGGGGGGGGTCCGGTGGCGTGGGTTCTGGTGGCGCGGGGGGGGGGGTCCGGTCCCCCGCCCCGCTTGTGGACGGGGGGAATTATAGGGGAAGCGGGGGGGGCGGGGGGGTTCTGGTGGCTGGGGTGGCTCTGCCGGGGTATAGGGGGAGAGGGTTCTGGTGGCGTGGGTTCTGGTTGCGTGGGGTGTGGTCCCCCGTCCCGCCTGCGGACAGGAGGAATTGGGGGAAGAGGGGAGGGGGTCTGGTGGCCGGGGTGGCTCTGCCGGGGCAGGGGGGGGAGTTCCCGTGGCGTGGGTTCTGGTGGCGCGGAGGGGGGGGGCCTGGTCCCCAGGACTTGTCGAATCCGCGTCGGATCCAAAATCCGCGTCGAGTCCGCCTCGAGCCCGAGTCGGGCACAGGAGGAGACACCAAATTTTGGGACAGACGAGTTCCCCGGAAGAGGCAACGTAAATCATCGACTCCTTTCCCATCAAAAGCTGCGAGGAACATCCCCCCCTCTCCCCCCCGCCCTCGCTCCTGTCCAACCCGGACATCCGGCCGCTCTCACTTTTCCGACACCTGGGCCCCATCATTGGCCTGGACCACTTCCCCGGGGGCCCTCTTCTTCGCACCACGTCGTCTCTTTTGACGGCCCCAAGGCCTGGCGAGGGCCTCCGGGAAGCCGAAAACGGCCCGAAAGCCCGGCGCTCCGTGGACCAATAAAGAGATCTACCGAATGCGGACAAAAAACGATACTCACAACTGCATATGGTTGATCGTTCGCCAGGCTACACGTCGATCGGAAGAGTGGTAAAAACATGAAGAGTGAAGGCGGATTAAGTACATTGGGTTCAGGCCCTCACAGCTAATAACAACACAAAGTAAACGCCAATCGATTCTTGAGGTAGGAAGGCGCTTGAAGTGACTTGGGACCTGGAAATCCCCAAATAACTACTATCAACGACCGGCGTGCCATCGCGCCATTTTTGAAGAGTCAGACATCCGATGGCTCAAGAGCCCCAGGGCGTGGCGCACCCGCGGCAGGTGTGGGTATGTGTATGTGTTTGCGTGTGTGTGTGTGGTGTGTGTGCGTGTGTTTTTGCGTGTGTGTGTGTGTGCGTGTGTGTGTGTGTGTGTGTGTGTGTGTGTGTGTGTGTGTGTGTGTGTGTGTGTGTGTGTGTGTGTGTGTGTGTGTGTGTGTGTGTGTGTGTGTGTGTGTGTGTGTGTTGTGTGTGTGTGTGTGTGTGTGTGTGTGTGTGTGTGTGTGTGTGTGTGTGTGTGTGTGTGTGTGTGTGTGTGTGTGTGTGTGTGTGTGTGTGTGTGTGTGTGTGTGTGTGTGTGTGTGTGTGTGTGTGTGTGTGTGTGTGTGTGTGTGTGTGTGTGTGTGTGTGTGTGTGTGTGTGTGTGTGTGTGTGTGTGTGTGTGTGTGCGTGTGTGTGTGTGTGTGTGTGTGTGTGTGTGTGTGTGTGTGTGTGTGTGTGTGTGTGTGTGTGTGTGTGTGTGTGTGGTGTGTGTGTGTGTGTGTGTGTGTGTGTGTGTGTGTGTGTGTGTGTGTGTGTGTGTGTGTGTGTGTGTGTGTGTGTGTGTGTGTGTGTGTGTGTGTGTGTGTGTGTGTGTGTGTGTGTGTGTGTGTGTGTGTGTGTGTGTGTGTGTGTGTGTGCGTGTGTTTTTGCGTGTGTGTGTGTGTGTGTGCGTGTGTTTTTGCGTGTGTGTGCGCGCGCGCTTGTGCGCGGTTCGGCGCCGCGCGGCCGCGCGGGTGGTCGCCATTTGGGCGCCTGGTCGACGTCCCAGGCGAGGGCCTCGAGCCGGCGGTGGGGCGGACGGCACGTGGCGGCGGGGGGGGAGGGATTCTCAGATTCCCAGATTCTCGGACGGCAGGGGGGGAAGATTCTCGGATTCTCGCATGCCCCGTCTGCCACGCGCGCACCGCGAGAGGGCGCGAGGTCCAGGCAGAAAGGGAAAGAACAAGCGGCCACCGACGGCACGGCGACGACGGCGACGACCGAAGACGGCGGCGACGACCGGACGACGACGGCGAAGACGACGGCGCTGGACGAAGGAGCGCAGCGACGCACGGGGACGGGGGGGGAGGTGAGGGGCTGGGAGGGCAGGAAGGAGGGCGGCGAGGGCGAGGGCCGAGGACGAGACCGAGGCGGAGCACGAGGCCAGTTAGCACACGCAGCGCAGCCTTCGCAGCCGTACTCCTACCAGCCCTGTGGGGCGTGAGTCATTTAGAGCGCTCTGTCTTCCAGCACCCGTCTTCCCCTTCGAGGAAGTGTGTATCACTGCTCCACATTCATTTTCACCCCCTCCGCCACCCGACTGTGGGTCAACCCGAGACATGCCCCCCCCCCTGACTTCCCTGTCAAAAAAAACAATACAGACTGCACTTTGCCTCCGACTCTGGAGCATGCGCAGGCGCCCCGTGACCACTTTGCCTTGGTTTACGCTGCGCGCAGGCAAACCATCCTGTCAGAAACAAAACAGAACACACTTTGCCTCCACATCTGGAGCATGCGCGGGCGCCCCGCGACCACTTTGCCTAGTTTTTTCACCTGGGCGGCGGGGGTGCCGACATAATGCTCGCTGCGAGCAGGCCAACCATCCTTGTCAAAAAACAATGCTGAGTGCAGTTTGCCTCCACGTCTGGAGCATGCGCGGGCGCCCCGCGACCACCTTGCCTTGGTTTTTGGTAGAGACGGCGGGGGTGCCGAAATATTATTTAAACGTGAAGCACGTGCCGCACCTGGCGCGCCTGGCTCGCTTGGGCCTCCAAGGTGCCTGGTGCACCTGGAACCCGTGGCGCACATGGCATGCGTGGGGCAGTATGCTGAGACTCCCTGGGGTGTTACTTATGTGATGGGAGGGCGGGTGGGAGTGAGCGAGACGGCTTGCGGGCGAAGGGGAGGGCCTCGGCCACTTCCCCTGCCCCCTCCCTCTGGACCTGAAGGAGGGGGGTGTCGTCGGTTCGTCGGAGCGCCCGTGATGGCCTCGACGAAAAGGCACACATGATTAAGTTTACATCGGTTTGGGGCACATGATTTTGGCCTCCTGGGGGGGCGCCAATTGAGAACCCCCTTCTTTGATCGACCTCCTCCAAGATGGCCCCAAGATGACCTCCAAGGCTCCCAAAAGGGCCCCACGAGGCGCCCAGGAGGCCCCCCAGAGGCCCCCCAGAGGCTCCCAAGAGGCCCCCAAGAGGCCCCCAAGAGACTTCCCCGAGGCACCCAAGACGTTCCAAGAGGCCCCAAGACCGCCAAGAAGCCCCCAAGATGCTCCATGAGGACTCTGAGAAGCTCTCAAGATGAGACGTCCGACATGACCCCGAGAGGCATCCAAAAGGCCTCTGGACATTCTGCTCGCCGTCCCCCTCCTCCTCCTCCGCCGCCTGTTCCTCCTCGTCCCTGCTCTTTTCCCCCTCCCCCTCCGCCTCCTCGTCGTCCTCATCCTGCGCGCCCATCGAAGGAATGAGGGAGGAGAGGCCCCTCAGCCCTGTCAAAAACCTTGCAGGGGGAACCAATCGGAGAGGACCTTGTTGTCACCTCACCTGTGCTGCGATCCAGGAGGGCCAGCGAACGGGCTCCCCTTCCCGCTGCGGCGAAGGACGCAGCGCCCGACCACGAGTAGACGAGCTGCCGTGGTCTCTCCGCGGCTCCGCCGGCGGGGTCCGCGACTTACCCCTGGGGGTACCTGCCCTGCGCCGGTGCCTTGAGCACACGCGACCCTCAGACCGGGGGGGCGAGATGGTGACCCCCTGTGGAGGGGGTGACATGGGGAAAGCTTGGAGCTGTCACGGGGCCATCACGGCGGAGAAGGGCGAGAACCACGTCCGCACGAGACAGCACGGGGGCCAGAGCAGCGGGCGGCGGCTCCACGGCACACGTGGGACTGGGCTCAACTCGAGCCTGCTGCCCAGAGACATGCATGCAATCAATGTCGGCCATCTTGCATCCGATGCGACGACCCATAAGGCGAGAAACGAGAGCGCCTTGGCCTGGGAGCGGACACTGTTGCAAAAATGCCGCGGGGCCAGGTGAAGCTGGTGGCCTCCGTTGCC